GATTCTGTACCTTGATTCTACACACACACACATATATATATATAAATATTTATTATAAATCATTATTACTTCAAGGTAAGAGTCAGTAACAATTCAAGGTGTTTCATAACTGTAAGGAAACTCCTAAACTACACTTTAGCTGGAAAAGTAAAAATGTTTTCCAAAGAAGACTAGAGTTATAAGGATTGAAAAACTAAATTGTGTGATAAGTAGTACTGAAACCAAAGTTTTTATTGGTTGACAAATAAGTGCTGAAAAGGGAAATAGAATTTTATAAGCATGTGCTCAAATAACATCTTTCTACACCTATGCCACTAAATTCCAAACATCCAAAAAGGATTACCAATATTCAAAGAATTACAATGTTTAATGTATCGGCACCCAACCACATAATAAATGTTTTGACAGGTTCAAAGTGCAGTGTTATTACACTCGAAAAGTCTTGTTGTGAACACAGTAGGATACATACACAAGTCGATAAATTACACATCCTGTTGTTGGCATAAACGTTTTCACTGATTCTAAGTGAAGTGTGATTTCTTTTAATTTTCAAAGAAAACATTTTAGCATATATATATATATATATATATAACACGATACATCAGAAATCCTGTTCTCAAGAGTTGAGTCTCTTTTTGCACATGCTTTGTTGCTTTCAGGAGTATCATATTACAATGGTGTCACGTAAACAGTCTACTGACACAAGCGGCAATTTATTGGTTTATTTTCAACAGCGTTTCCACTTTAGTGGTTGACAGTAAAATAAACAAAGAAAATAAATGTGAAATTTTTAGCAGTTCAAACTCATAAGAGAAGTATTTTGAAACTTTGTGACCAATAATAATGAAAAAAAGGCACAGCTGCTCCTTTTATTTCTAATTTTACAACTTGTCTTTTCATTTTTGGGATTTATCTACAGGCTGAAGACTCAAGTGTATCATTAAATAACTGATACGATACAGTTTTACTGAAAATAAGTGTTTGAAATGTATTTAGGAATTTTAAAGATTACACAAAAGAAATTTGAGATTTTTGGGATAAAGAATAGTATATTTAATCATAACATGAAAATCACTTCCAACTCAGACTAGTAACAAAACAGACTAGACATATTCACAAAGAAAATCTTTAGTAAAAATATTTCATTAAAAAATATGTTTTTTGTGTACAAAAGACTTGTAATGTTTACTAAAGGTATATCAAATTTTGTGAAGATGCACATACTGAATTAAAAGTTATAGTATAAACATTTAACGTGTGCAAACATGTATACAAACTCGTGTATATTATACCAAGCCCATTGTGAAAGGGTTTAATGACCTAAAACAGGGAAAGGGTTAAGAGACATTTATTTTAACATTACCATTCAAACCAATTCAATTAACACTACAGAAGGTTATTTTGGTGTTCTATGTAATCACAAGAATGCATATTTTTAGTAAATAGTAACAATACCTATGTTAATGTAAAACTATCATTACTAAAATTTAAATCACCAAAGCTAAAAAATTAGCCAAATAAAGTAAAACATATTATCATGAATTTTACAAAAACTTTGTTCTTACATTTAATCAAGATTTTCATGGTAAAATAGTTTTAGTACAGCCAAAACAACACTCTGTACACTTTTATAATTTTCAAGTACTGTACAAATTATGACAAAATGGATATCCACAGACCATAAAATGTTTTACAAAGAACAATCAGTTAACCACAAAATGCTGATGACATATAATGGTACTAACCGAAAAACCATACAATGTATTGAGAGTAGTAGATTCATGCAAAAGTTACAAGAAAATGTACAGAAATTTTGAGGAACAGCTGATACAACTCTAGCTCTAATTATACTGTAGTAAATTCTGATACATAATACAAATTACCTGTGTTCTAACTTCCACATTTTGAGTTGGATTAGCCTCAACAAGTGTTTTGGTAGAAAACAATCCCAAGTCTATTGACATATAAAAAATAATGTGTAATTCTAAAGCTACTACTGTTAGCAGTATTACTAATGAAACAAAGATTTAATGAAATCCATAAAACAAAAAAGGTTCTCTTAACCATAATGAAATTTACTACTTAAGTTTCACACTTATATGAAACAACATTAAAATTCATGTGTATAAATAATGACATTTTAATTTTTTAAAAGTTTAAACAAACTCAAAGATACAGCAAAAATTTTGTGTACATTGAAGCTTTAAACACATAAACAGAAGTCAGAAGTATGTATTTTATTTGGCAAATCAAGAAAAGCTAAGGGAAAGAAAAAAATCAGTCCTGCTCTTACTCAAAACATTTTTGTTTCATAAATATGGCAATGACACTCAATTTCAATGATTCAATACTCAGTTATACATAGTGAAAAAAACTTAAATAGAAAAAAATAAGTGCACAACTATATTCTATCTAGTTTAACCTGAGTTCTGTTTAGTGTCACACTGAAACCAGAAAGGAACATAGACTGCAAAATATTAAACAGTGTGAAAACTTCTTACCCAGCTTGAGCACGTTGGCTAAGTTACGAATCACAGTTATGGGATGAACAAGGCAGAATTCTTGCAACTGTGATGAAAAGGCATCCTTCTTGTTTTCCAACTAGAAAAATTACAAAATTCTTCAAAATGAAACACTATAAAAAAAGAGTCATTCTTCTGGGACAAAGATATTAAAGTTCAAAATATAGCAAATTACAATGCTAAGACACACCCAATCAAAAATACTTACTTACTGTACGTAATCATGTCACCAGTATACAATAAACAAAGTACTACATTACACCTTAAGTGCATTACATTTAAATGATTGCATTAATGTATTTTATACGACTTGAAATTGTCTGATTAAAATAAAAGGAATTTTTGAAATAATTCAATCCCAAATTTGGGATTTAACCAAGACCAGATTGGTGATAATGGAGTGCGTAACATCTGGTCATTTACTGAACATATGTTAGAATGATAGCTGCAGATAAGAGTTCCATTCTGTATAGAAAAAATGTCATTAACTTTTTCATTGGGGAGATATTCAACATTCTTTCCCCTTTCTTTACTCAATATTTTCTATTTTCTGGCCAAAAGTTGTTTTTCTTTCTGTGCTATTTCTGATTTAAGGCATAGAAAATAACTAAAATACTATGCAAGCATCAAAAAACTGTCCTATGCCTCTCTGTTATTTATAACTGCAAAATGAAAAAGTGTTTCTAGTGTAATAAATGCAGTTTATGTGAGTATGACCACAATGGGATATGTATCTACTGAAAGCAAGTTATCAAGAAAAAGAGGCCAAAGAGAATTTCAAGAAAAAAAAATATACAAAAGAAACTAGAAGAGAAAAGAAGAAAGCTTCTTCTGGGTTTTCTTCTTCAAAAGCAAAAGCTGCCATTTTGTTCAATCTTTAAGATGGTGATTTAGATTCAGTGAAACTCATTCACTGTTCCCTTTACCAAAACATTTTGTAAAAGTCATTTTGTGCACTTTGTTACTGCTCCTACTTAAATATTTCTGGTTATTGTTTGCAATGAAATATTTAAGTTTCGGAGCAAGTTTACACTGAAAATAGTTATACATCGAAATCAGTCAACTTTGACAATAAGATTAAGGAAGTTGTATAAAAATTAGTTTTAGCTTTTGTGCTAATTTTTGGCTCTTTAGATCCAAGTCTAAATGATGGAACAATCAAAAGTGAAAAATTAGTATTTCCAGATATGAGAATGTGAAGTTTTCACCAAATTTTAGTGATTTTGGCCTGGTTAAATCAAACAAATTCAAGGGAATAAAATTAAAAAAAGATGCCAATGTCAAATTTCTTTAATTGATATTATGCTATATTACTGACTGCTTTGCTACTTCTTTTCAGTAGAACAAAGAAATTAAATGCTAAGTAAAAACTTTCAAACAATGAAATATTTTTGTCATATTCTTATTATTCAGCAACCAAAATACTTCATAAAAGTGATTGGCTTTAATTACCTAGTAATTTACACCAAGACATTTTGTGGTAAATAAAAGCACTTACATAAACACTTGGGGTCTGAGGTAAAAGCTTGTCTTTGGACAATGGTGGATAAGGAGGATCAGGAGGAGATGGAGGAGGACAAAGCTCAGACATGATACTTGTATTTGACACGCCATTTTTGGAAAGTCCTTTGCATGCTGAGAGTAACTGAGAGGAGCTCATATTTATAGATAAGGAAGTAGGACTTTGATGAGAAGACTTTTCTTCCACAGTCTCTTGTGACTGTTTCACTTTCAAACTAGATGCTGGAAGACTGCTGGATGACAACCATTTAGAGGCTTTAGCATCAGACCCAAGCATCTGAGTAGATTTTACAGGTTGTGAAGCCTCATTTACAGCTCCTATTGGTAAAACTTCAGGTTGAATCTGTCCTTTAGGTACATCCTTCTGTGTAGAAATGTTTCCTGCACTTACAAAACTAGAAACTCTGTTACCATCAGCTTCAAGTTTTTGGAGATGGACTTGTGTTTCAGCTCCAAGAACTGCAGCCTGACTAGAGATTGGAAGATATGAACTCTCTGTGGTTTGATTAACACTAGCTGATATATCCCCAGCTATCTCAGTAAGAAGATCATCTGGTAGGCTGACCTCTTTTTGAGAAAGAAGAGCTTCAAGATCTTGGTCACTGAAGGAATCAGTAGTCATGGAGATGCCACCACTTAATAATGTACCATTCTAAATGGAGGAGACAATATGAAAGACCTCATTAGGCACAATTTTCTTTGCATAATTGTGATCATTGTTCTTCTCTAAATATATTTTTGCTTTTAAGCTATCATCATTCTATGACAAAATATGCTTTTGCTTTTTTTTACAATGATTTTTTACACAAAAAATATCAAGCAGCTAGAAATTCACTTTCTTCAAAACTGTAACCATTGACAAGAACATGGGATATCAATGAATAACTGTAAATATTATTGTCAGAAGTCAATAACCTTAGGCAATTAATGTCAAAAACTTCTGTTATTTGTTCATGTCATCTACAAAAACAATAACTGATACTTAATTTTATTAATTTAAATATCAAACACTGAATTATTATATAGTTGTTACTTTATACCTGGGTGGCTCCCAAACTTGGCCTAGACTGGTACTGAGCCTGGAATCCCGTTGGAACAGAAGACTGGGAAATTTGTACAGTAGGATTTACAGTGGATGATTCTGTAGTCTGTGGAGTTGCTGCTTTAGTAAGTAAATGGTTTGAGGAGACATTTGGCTGGATAGAGCCAATAGTCAAGCCTGTGTCAACAGTCTGTGGATCCTGAGGGTATCCACTAAGTAAAGTTCTCTCATTAGCTCCTTCAAGCCGTGAAGACAAGCTTTGCTGGGGAATAAACTGGGAAGAATTGGGGGCCACTGTCCTTATTGGACGTACTACAGTGTTTGTTACTCCTGAGAGAGTAGCTGGTTGTGGTAGATAACCAGCAGCAGGTATTCCCTGGGGCATGGTTGTGACTGTCCCAGCAGTCTGAGGTCCAAGGATTCCTGTCAAGGTTGTGACTATTCCAGCATTCTGAGGCCCAAGAACTCCAGGCATGGCAACAGGTGGCTGGCCTGTAGGTGCCTGCTAAGGTAGAAAATAATTAATAAAACTTCCAACATTCAGCTCTACTAAGTGTTACTAAACTAGTGGAAAACTTCATAGGATCTCTTTCAACAATTCCATATTTCTTATTCACAAGCAAGAAGTATTCAAATATAAAAGCCAGAATCCTATTCTAATTAACATTTGACATTCAACGAGCTTTAGAGAGAAGTAAAATTACAACAAACTGTAACCCACCTATTGTTTGTTTTTTTAAATTTAATTTACCAGCCACATTGATTCTATATTTTTTACTACCACAACATATCCCTATTATCAATATATCAAACAAATATATATATATATGTGACCAATATGGTTTATGTATCCCTTTCTCGATTGTTTTAACAAATCAGTAATGTGTGGAAAAACAATGTAATAATTAGTATTAATTATACATTAGAAGGCATTAGACTGAAATGTACCCTTGTTAGTATAAATATGACCTAATGCAAAATCTATCCACACATTATTTAACTAGCAGAAACAAAAATTGGAAATGAGGCACATTTGCAAGCTGTTTTCAAATTAACACTAGTAAACTGTACGACAAGGTTACGAAATATAAAAACACAAACAGTGCAGAACGAACAGTGATAAAAATATATATTTGGATACTAAGGTAAAAAATGTCATCACCTGAGTACACTTACAACTTAAAAAGAATAAAACCTTCAAAATGCATTTTTCTTTTATTTATGTACCTTAAAATTGATAATTCCTTATCACAACTGACCTGCCCATGTTGCAACAGCAATGTCTGTTGTTGCTTTTGATCCTGCAGTTGCATCAGACGTTGTTGATGCTGTAACTGCTGAAAAATTGCTCTTTGCTGGGGAGTCATGTTTTCCTAAAAAAAAATAAATAAATACTTCAAAAACAACTACTGTAAATTTAACGGTGAAAATTCTTTCACTGGTAACTTTTTGGAAAAATGTATATATATACTTTCAGATGGCTACTAAACTGCCTTCAGTGGTACATGAACACTTCATACTTCCTACTGATAGATCTGGTCACATCAAGGCAAAGTGTAAATATTGTGAACAGACTATTTCTACTTCAGGAAAAACCACTTCTAGCCTGCTGACATACCTGAAGGTAAGCTTTTTTATTATTTTTGTTAATATGAACTATATTCTCTGTAAATTATACGATATAATATAGGTAAACTAAATTTCTCGTGCGTGTTAAACTATATTCTTTATTACTTTCATTTATTTAGTAGTATATGGTTTTATTATAAACTATATTCTATATTATATAACTGAGATATTTATTTATTATTATAAAGTATATTATATAAATGAGATATGCTTTTGTATTTCTAAAGCATTTATGAGGCAGAGTTACAGAAGTCTACATCTGGCTCTGGTACTTCTGCTCAGATGTAGCAGCCCACAATAGCAGTGTACTGTATAGAATCAACTAAATAAATATAAGTCTACAGTCATAAGAACATCACTAACAAACTCATCAACTTTATTGCTGGTACACTACAACCCTTCTCAGCAGTGGAGTCAAAAGATTTTCAAGAACTAATGGCATCCATGGATTCTCAGTATATTCTTCTCAGTCACAAGCATCTGTCCACAACATTGATCGAAAGAAGGTTGTGAAAGTCCAACAAAAAGTCATCTCTTTACTGCAACTTGTACCCAACATCACTGCCACTGTGGATATCTAGAGTATCAGACAAATGTGCAGCTTTCTAGGAGTCACTGGTCATTTTATACTTGACATGTCGGAGTTTCAAGGTGTCACACAGCTGATAACATTGCAGTTCAATATGATGAAATAATAAATCTCTTTAACATCAACAATGAGGTGTCATATGTGACATCTGATAATGTATCCAAGATGATCAAGGCTTTCTGCTTGCCTGGGTTTGATCTGCAACAATACCTAATGTGAGAGGTGGTGGTAGCTCATCTAAACATTTGGATGAATCTAAATCAGCAGATAATTTATCCAAATTCCTTCCTGAATATGACCCCTACTTTGCCCACATGCTATAGCTTGTGGTCAGGGATGGTGTGAAAGAAGCTGGACCACTGGTGAAAGTAATTTCCTAAGCATCAACCATCGTGTCCTACATTTGAAAATCAATGCAAGCAATTGATCTATTTGAGGGAAAGGCCAGAGTTCAATCGGTAACACCAACATGATGGAACTCAGAAATTAAAATGATTAAGTGTTTATTCAAGATTCCCCAGGAGAAGTTGGATAATCTGGATACTAGTACATCGAAACTTACTTTTCATGATCAAACTGTGCTTGCAGAGTTGGTGACAATACTGACACCTTTTGAAGAGGCAACAGATTTCACCCAGGGTCAGAACACTGTTGCCTCCAGTTCTGTAGTACCATGTGCTTATGGGCTAATGACTGAGATTGACAGCATGCAGTGCAGATATAATTTAAATCTTATCTCTGGACTGAAGAAGTGTGATCAGGCCTGGCTGACTCAGTATGGACAACGAAGTGTTTTCTGCTTGGCTGCGGCATTGGATCCCAGATTGAAACTTGACTGGTGTTTCATTAGACCAATAGTCTATGAATTCAATTAAATGCTCATGCAGCAAGAAGTCGAGAAAGTTTCCTCAACAAATAATCCTACAATCATGGAACCAAAATAGAACTGCAAACCCCCCCTGCAAAAGAAGTAAGCTCTTTAGTTTCTTTGCTGCCTCCAAAAAAACCAGCCACCTCATCTTCAGAATACACAAAGATCAACATGTTCTTTATGAACATCAGTCTCTCAGATGTCTTGTCAGTGAGGCAACAAATGCTCAATGGGGACATAGGTTGCTGGAATACTTGTGCAGCATTTGGCTAATAGAGATAGGGTAGAAAGGTCTTTCATGGATCTTCCAATAATCTAGAGGGTTGTTTTCTTCAGGAATACAAGGACCATTGAGGTAGGATGGATAGTTATAATATCTATAAATCTCCTTTCTAAATATATATATTAGCCTCATTGTGATGTCTTATCCCACAAACTGCCAATCAACAGATCATTCTTTGCCAGCCTAGGCTTTACACACCACAAGAGTTGATGCCTGGTATAAATAGTGCTGTAAACCAACCAACCTGATTATCTCTGGTAATGAGAAAAAGGCATGATTGTCATTAGTGTGCAAAACAAAGTGAGCAGTTGAAGCCCTATTATATCTTTGTCTTACTGTAAATTTGTATTGGGCCAGTAAAGATAGACGATATTAAAATTATTCTCAGTCTTACTGTGATCTTATATCATACGAACCACCAATCAATAGACTTTGACATATTAACCTACACATTTTACACCACAAGACTTGATGTGTTTCAAATGACTGATTTATATAATTTAGAAATTTTATTGGTGGTATTACACCACCTGATCTTTCTTACAACATAATTTAATGTAAAACAATCATATACACCAATAATAAGCAATAAGTGACACATATATGTCTCCCCATCTTTGGTATTGAAGATGATAAGCAAATGTATTTAGGGGTTTATGCCTCATGAATTCATAATATTAAAAAGTGTATACCCAAATTATCTATTATCAGAATAACTGTCAAATATTATATTTTTTAATTCATTTAGATTTAATAAATATAATCTACAATATAGAAAAAGCCTTTAAAATGAAGTAATTGTTGACAAATTTCACATGTAAGATATGTATATACATTGCAGTTTCCTTTTTAGTAAAGATTACCCTATGGTATACATCTTATTCACCTAATCCTAGATAAAACTTTACATGAACTAACCATATTTCGGGGTGAACCAGAGCTCAGCTTTACCCTTTTGGCAGACAATCCACTTTGCTGATCAGTCTGGGAACCAGGAATTACTACAACACCATTCTGAGAAAAAGTTCCAGGTGCTGATGGTTGAGTTTGCTGTTACAGAGATATCAAAAGTAGTAGCAACTGTACATAAATTATTGTATTTCTAACAAAGAACAAAATGTTGTTTTTTTTTCAGAGAATATCTCTGTAACACTCTAAAATGTTCCTACTGTTCATATAGACAACTGGGTACATTTTATTAAAACAATTTTGGAGCCTCCAAATATAGCTACACTCAATGTTGCCACATCCTGTTATGCTCTATTTGACAACTGCGCATCTTCACAATAGCCATGCAATATAGTTTCCACTGTAAGGATGTCATGTCCAAAGCCCTCTAGCCCCCCTGCCTATTTTCCATAATGCAATTACCATATGAAGATGGCAGTTTCCCAACACCTGGTACAGCAGTATAATTGCACAAAAATCTATATGTACTGCATTTGGTGACTTGGCACATTTGTATTTGTATAGAATAGCATGAAAACCTGTTTCATTTTCTATCTATTTGAAGCATGTTACTGCTGAACAGGAAGTATGGCTGTAAGCATTAGCTTGGAGAACTGGCACCCCTGTTGATCTTGTTTCCAGATAGAGATTCTTCTTGATTATGTTATGTACTGTTGCCTGTTATTCTTGAACAGCTTTTGCCACTGACTTTTGTGTTTGTCAATTCTCACCTATTACAAGTTGCCACACTCTGCTTACCATGGCTGCAGTACGAGTTATTGCAGGTCTCTCACTGAATGGTTTTGGTAACCTAAGTTAATCTATAATCCTTTGTTTTCTAATGCCATTAATAACAAGTGATATCCCAGTCTTAGAAATTCTAAAATCACCAATCTAACGATACCTTTATGATCTGAGTATAAATATATTTAGTGACAGAAAGGGATGTTATATACCCTTCCCAATGCAATCAAGTTTCAGCAGCATCACTCTACATACAAAATGTCAAAACATAATTCTGGCACATTATGTTTCACCGTGACTATACTGATTGTGGTTGTAACGTGACTTGTTAACTTGCATATTCAAAATTGTTTTAATATAATGTACTCACAATTAGGTTTTTACAAAGAAGTTTTGCTAGAATTTTGTGACATTCCTAATACACTTCTGAGCAAAGATAGTTTTTCATTCATGTTTATCACACTACCAAAATGAACTGTGTGTATTCTAATTTAACAAAAAAAAAAAAAAAAAAAAAAGAGTCAATTTTACATTCCTTGACTTTCAGTTTCTTTAACAAAAGCTGAAATAAATTAAGCCACAAGTTTTTATTTTACATTGCAATTCTTACAATTTGCAGTTA